AGCTGAAGCTGGCTTTGTCAGCCATCCCACAACAATTTTAGAGTCTCCTTCAACTATCAAGTGTTGAACTCCTAACTGTTCAGCAATCTGGATGCCTTGTACAGCCGCTAAGATCTCTGCTCTATTTGAGTCTCCTATTCCCACAGGGCCTGAAAACAAAGCTAGGATGTTCTCTCTATATCTCAGCACCCGTCCTATCCCCGAAGGGCCTGGGTTTCCTTGGCTGCTACCATCAAAATTCAGCTTTGCCCAACCTTCAGGCGGAGGCTTCCACACTGCAGCTGCCTTGTCCCTCCTCATATGACTAGTGGCCACCGCCTTCCAGTTACTCCAAATGTCATCAAAGGAAAACGTATGAAAGAAGTCCAAAGTTCTTAGCCAATGAATGGCTCTAGTCAATATACAATCCTCAACTGTTTGTAAGCTTCTTTCCTTTTCTTTGAACACCCTTGCATTCCTTTCTTCCCAAATTGTCCACAAGGCTGCTGCTCTAATACATCTCCACATCATTTTTCCTTTTTTTGTAGGCCACACAAAACAAGAAGGATCGAACAGCTGACTCCCTATCTACTGACTATGAAACTTGAAACTAACTAAATAATGGCTCGACAACTGATTCCCAATGACCAAACCCAAACTATTGATAATTAAAACGACAAAATATCCTTGCTTTCCATAAATTAAATAAGACAAAGAACTAACAAAATTATGAGATTGTGACACTTATATCCATGCCTTAGCCACCCAAATATGTGTAATGGGACTGTTTAAAATCCCCATCAATATGCATGCATATATTTTTGTAACCTGTCACTGTAACCCTTCCACCCTTTTTGTCATAAAAGGGTAGAATAACAATCTACTATATTCTTTTATTAAGGATTATTAAATGTTTATTGTCATTCAACTCGTTTACCTTTAAGACTAACAAAGGCATCCAGATTATCAGAGAACTATTTTACATGTGAAATCCATGTTCTGAATTACAGAACTTGATACTCATGTCCATGTTTTGAGTTATGGTATTTGCATTGTATCCCCGGTCTAATAGGCATATCTGTAACAACATAAATCTTTTGATCTATATTTGCAATTCAAATGGAAGCATAAAGGTATAGCATCTATACCTTATTTATCTGGTTCTTATTTAACTAATGAAACTTTTTACCTCATTTGTACTAGTGTGGTGGTCAAAGGAGTTGTTTGTAAGAAAAATGTGGCCCATCGGCGAATGACATCAAAGATAGAGAAACCCCGGTTCCTTATCCTTGGAGGAGCACTTGAGTATCAGCGGGTTTCTAACCTCCTGTCAAGTTTTGATACTTTGTTGCAGCAGGTTTAAATCATTAACCTCTTTTTCTCTGGATTTGTAAAGTTGGATAAAAAAGAGAGATACAAGTCTGAAACAGTTTTTTTTTCCCAACTTTTGATTATTGACTGGTTGATACATTAACCAAGCAAGTGTGGTGTTTCCTGGATTTGGATTATTTATTCTTATGGGTTTTACATCTGTATTTAGGAAATGGACCATTTGAAGATGGCGGTTGCAAAGATTGCTGCTCACCACCCCAATGTCCTTTTGGTTGAGAAGGCAGTTTCCCGTTTTGCCCAAGATTACCTCCTTGCAAAAGACATATCCCTTGTTCTCAATATTAAGAGGCCCCTCTTAGAACGCATGGCTCGCTGCACAGGTGCACAGATTGTACCTTCAATCGATCATTTATCATCACCAAAGTTGGGGCACTGTGAAACATTCCACGTGGAGAAGTTTCTTGAAGAACATGGTAGTGCTGGGCAGGGTGGGAAGAAATTGATGAAGACATTGATGTTCTTTGAAGGCTGCCCAAAGCCATTGGGTTGTACTGTAAGTCCTTTGGAACAATTCAATCTGAATTTATTATATTTTGAAATATTGTAATCCATGGTCTTGGTAATATAAACCATGCTAAACTTTATGTATAGTACGTGGTACCAAGTTTTATCCACCTGGGAAACTTTGTGCTCGAACAATCAATTCAACTATAAAATATAGTTTAGGAATTTTATTGCATAATCTAGAAAAGATTATGTGGATTGATGAGTCAAAACCTTGAGAGAGTGTTCTCAGTACCTATAAATGGCTGGTGCATGTTATATGTTCCATTATTCATCATGTACTGTTTCAGTGCGTTTAGGGTTCAGTCTTTCTCCTTGGTGTATCTATAAGTTTATTATTTGAATTTGAAGTGGTCTTTATTTGCTTTTATTTGTTTCAGATTTTGCTCAAGGGTGCAAATGGTGATGAGTTGAAAAAGGTGAAGCATGTGGTTCAATATGGAGTTTTTGCAGCATATCATCTGGCTTTAGAGACATCATTCCTTGCTGATGAAGGTGCCTCTCTGCCAGAACTCCCATTGAAGTCCCCGATAACTGTTGCACTTCCAGACAAACCATCCAGTATTGACAGGTCTATTTCCATGGTACCTGGTTTCAATGTTCCTGCTACTGGCAAGTCTCAGGGATCTAAATCCAGTATTGAACCACAAAGATCTGGCACAGTCCTGAGGTCAAATACGACCTCATCAATACACAGTGCCTCCATTAGCAAAATGGAGATGGCCTTGTCACTTGGTTCACCTAAGGATCTTAATTCTCTGTATGAGGGTCAAACTTCAAGATTTGACTCTTCAGCTCATTTCCATTCCTTAACTCCTTCAATTCAGTTTGGGTCTGATACCTACCATAATGAGATCTTTCCAAATCATTCTGTAGAAGAGAACAATAAAGTGGGTTTTAGAGAKTCTCTTGAGTCCAAGCATTCTGCAACTGATAGTTGTGAAGATGGCATGGTTGGCCATCTGGTTGGTAATGGTTTTGGGGTTCTAGAGCCCTCAGGGGATGAAAGGGCTGTAATTAATGATTCTCAAGTTGATTGTGATGCAATTGCCACAAATGAACCTGGTGCTTCAGAATTGACATCCTTGCAGCATCATAGAAATAACTATTGTGAGGAGCAGGGGTCTTCTAAGGAAGAATTTCCTCCATCCCCTTCTGACCATCAGAGCATTTTGGTTTCCTTATCAACCCGGTGTGTGTGGAAGGGGACTGTCTGTGAACGAGCACATCTCTTCCGGATTAAATACTATGGTAGCTTTGACAAGCCTTTGGGGCGTTTTTTACGTGATCATTTATTTGACCAGGTTATTATTTCTTCACCGTTTCTAGTATCCACATATTTTCTGTAAATGGCAATCTGCCAACTCTATTTGGGACTGAATTGACATTTTTTGTCAGAGTTACCGGTGCCGTTCATGTGAGATGCCATCAGAAGCACATGTTCATTGTTATACACATCGACAGGGCAGCCTCACAATTTCTGTTAAGAAGCTTCCAGATTTCCTCTTGCCAGGTGAGCGAGAGGGCAAAATTTGGATGTGGCATAGATGCCTGAAATGTCCTCGAACCAATGGGTTTCCTCCAGCAACTCGGAGAGTGGTGATGTCTGATGCTGCGTGGGGCTTATCTTTTGGGAAGTTTTTAGAACTCAGCTTTTCAAACCACGCTGCTGCTAGCAGAGTAGCTAGCTGTGGTCATTCCTTACACAGAGACTGTCTCCGGTTCTATGGGTATGTTATGCTTTTACTTGAACAATTTTGTGGTACTGTAATCATTCCTTACACAGAGACTGTCTCCGGTTCTATGGGTATGTTATGCTTTTACTTGAACAATTTTGTGGTACTGTAAATATATAGTATGAGTAGTACAAGCACTGGTACATAATGAAGGAACATCAGTAGTCAGTTTGTATGACACATGAGCAAGAATAGACCTGCTATTTGATAGACCCAAATAGATCTCATTGGTGTTGACTCCTAAAGAAATCTACTGGTGCTCACTCTATTAGGATCTATTTAAATTTACAATAGCTATTCATTTCTTCATAGAGTTCTAGTTGATTATAGTCCAACAGTCACCTCCTGGCCCCTTTTCTAAACCTTTTAAATATCCCTTTTTATTTACTTGATCAACCTGTAAGCTCTATTTCAGATAGATAATCTTTGCTCACCTATCAGTTCTGTCTCCCCTTTTTTCTTAATTTTTTAGAACTTCATTTATGATTTGTCTATCTCCTTTGTTGGGAATACCTAAGCTAAGTGTCAAAAGCAAGAAGATGAGGCTCTTCTGGTCTAATATCATACCCATCACAGCCACCTCAATTAGTTGCTAATTTGCTATTTGGGTGGGTCTGATATCAGTTACATGTTCACAGAAGACATGGTTAGAGTGCATTGATGATGGAGAATTCATGTAGTCAACCCCAAATAATTGGGGTAAATGATTTATTGAAATGTTGTTAGGATTGGACTGTATGGAAACTGGAAAGCTCACTAGTTCACAGTTTAACCAGCAGTTAGATTGTTCAGCTTGTAAAAACTGTCAAAAAACCAGAATCAAGTAAACTTGTGGTTCACTGGGTCAGATCTGGGTCTGATGGCACTAATTTATTGAGTTGATTTCTTGTTAATCCATTAGACAAGTTCACAAGAATCCCAACATAAGACTGTTTTAGATTGGTTGGATAGAGTTGAAAAAGCAGTACGGAAAGAAAAATTGGGTAAAGGGGTGGTTATAGAATGATTCCAGCCTCCCAAAAAATATAAAATACTGGTTTACCACCAAAATTACTGAAACTACAGCTAAAAAGTACGCTGCTATCTGGATTCTCCCGGGTTTCAGAGATCCCTTAGGTGGTTATTTTCAAACTTATATAGATGCCTTTGTATTCCATTTATAAATCATAATTAGTAGTCTGTAGTACAGTAGATTTACTTTTCCATGCATTCCACTTGTAATATCTGATTCTTTTTTGATCAGTAACTGTGAAAAGTTTTATAAGTTTGATATGAAAAAATGCAGTGTACATAATATGCCAAGGATCCCTTGTGTATAGGCTGTCTAAACCCCTATCCCATTTACTCTGCTTTAAACTTACTCAGATTACAATTGAGCCTGATACAGTCCCATTGATATCAGCGAGCCTATTTGCTAATCTATGGATTCATTGGAAGTTTGCAACACTGTCAGCAATTGCTGCCTGTTTGGTCATGACATATGTACTTCCAAATTCCTTGTTATTCTTCAGCCACCTCATTACTATCCTTGACTCTCCTTCCACCAGTAAAATTCTCCTTGTGCTTTGGCCATTCTCAACCATTTTACTACTTATTATCTTGTCTGGACATTATCTCATTTTCATTGCTGTATTCTTTCATGAACAGGTTTGGGAGGATGGTTGCATGCTTTAGATATGCTTCAATCGACGTTCATTCTGTTTACCTTCCACCTCCAAAGCTTGATTTTAACTATGAAAACCAGGAGTGGATACAGAAAGAAGCAAATGAGGTCTAGTGATATGAACTTGATTCCAAACACATGATTCAAATTGTAACTATTTATGGTGGCTGATTTTTTTTTTTTTTTTGATTTTTCTTGAACAGGTGGTTGACAGGGCAGAACTTTTTTTCACTGAAGTATTCAACAGTCTCCATCAGATTGCAGAAAAGAGATTAGGTGCAGGATCACTTAACAGCAGCATGAAAGCACCAGAATTAAAAAGACGAATTGCAGAACTAGAAGGGATGCTGCAGAAGGAGAAGGCAGAGTTTGAGGTGATGCTTGTTATCATTCTTCTCCTAATCTTCCAAGTTGAAATCACTTTTGGATAATACAGCAGGCAAATATCTTTGTGTTCTTGACCCTCTATTTTCATCTTGGTCCACTTATGTATCAGCCAGACCTAGACTACCTCGAATGCACCATAAAATTGGGTCTGGATGACTTAATCTATTCATAAAAATAAGAAAACAGGCAACTAATCTTGCATGGATAAAAATATTTTCTCTCACTGGTTAATTTTAAGATGGTCTGGTTTGAATGAATTTGGGTCGTCTTCCAAGTGGTTGCTAAATGTTTGGGTTTTCCAGATTGATGAATCCATAGGCTTTACACCACATAGGGTGCATATTCTTTTTTTGCATTCAGATTCTGATTGATTTTTCAACTTTGTTTTAGGAATCTTTGCAGAAAATACTAAATAGTGAGGGAAAAAAGGGCCAACCCATAATTGATATTCTTGAAATTAATCGATTGCGAAGGCAGTTACTTTTCCAGTCTTATGTGTGGGACCACCGCCTGATATACGCAGCCAGTGCTGACAGCCCTCAGGAAGGACCATGTGGATCAGTAGCAAAGCAGAAGGAGAAAACACTCGGTTCTAGTGAGAAGATTGTTGAGATGAACTGTCCTTCCAAGCCGGGTAAAGCTACTACTAGTCATGACTCCTTTGTTTTGGATGCAAAGTCCGATGAGGATCCTGTTCAGAAAGGAGCATTTGGTGAGCATCCCAACCAGCCTGACTCAGTTAATCAAGGAAGAGATACAAAGCAGGATTCTGATTATGGAAAAGAGGGCACGGATGATCTTTCTACCATCATAAATCATTGTGACCAATCTGACCCCTTGAAGACTGGGGCAACTGTTCGTAGAGTGCTCTCAGAAGGCCAATTCCCAATTATAGCAAATTTGTCAGACACCCTTGATGCAGCGTGGACAGGCGAAAATCACCCAGGAAGCACAACACCTAGTGAGAATGGTTATGCATTTTCTGATGCAGCTCTGATGGATTCATCAATCATAGAAGCTGTATCAGCAAAACCAGTTTTGGAAGATCATAGTGGCCAAAGTGGAGCTGAGGTGGTTCAATCTCTTGCGCCTGCATTAGTGAGCAAGGGGGCTGACAACATGGAAGACTCTATAAGCTGGGTGGGAATGCCTTTCCTAAACTTCTATAGGTCATTCAACAAAAGTTCCTCAGGAAGTTCTCCAAAGTTTGATATGGTTAGTGAGTATAATCCTATCTATGTCACATCATTTCGGGAGTTGGAGCGTCAAGGTGGGGCTAGATTGCTTTTGCCTGTAGGTGTCAATGACACTGTTGTGCCAGTTTATGATGATGAACCTACGAGTATTATTGCATATGCATTGGTTTCTCCTGATTATCATGCCCAGGTATCTGATGAACGGGAAAGACCAAAAGATGGGATAGAACCTTCGGTTTCATTACCATCTATTGATTCTGTGAATCTTCACTTGCTTCATTCTTTTGATGAGACAGTCTCTGAATCATTTAGAAATCTTGGGTCCACAGATGACAGCATCTTATCCACATCTGTGTCTAGGAGCTCCCTGGTGTTGGATCCTCTGTTGTATACAAAGGCATTGCATGTTAGAGTTTCTTTCTCAGATGATGGCCCACTTGGAAAGGCAAAGTATACTGTCACTTGTTATTATGCAAAGCGGTTTGAGGCCTTGAGAAGGACATGTTGTCCATCTGAGCTAGATTTCATAAGGTCTCTTAGTCGCTGCAAGAAGTGGGGAGCACAAGGTGGCAAGAGCAATGTCTTTTTTGCAAAAACCTTAGATGATCGGTTTATCATCAAACAAGTTACAAAGACAGAGCTGGAATCTTTCATCAAGTTTGCTCCAGAGTATTTCAAGTATCTATCTGAATCAATTGCCTCTGGCAGCCCGACATGTCTAGCAAAGATCTTGGGGATTTATCAGGTATGATATCTTTAAACCAAACTTAATAAGGTATGTTGCTGACTCTTAACCATGACCTCATCCAAATTGACTTGGATTCTAAGTGAAACTTTCCCAGCTAAGACTCTATGCTAAGGTACTTGTTGATTAATGACCAAACTTCTATATTTTAGGACAAAGTAATCAACTAGCTTAATTCCAAGATTTGGATTCTTGGTATTGATTAAGTTGTCTTGGACAGTTCCCCCCCCCNCCCCCCCCCTCCCCCTCACATGCTTCCCTGACTTAATGCACTGTTTGGAATTGAAAATTTGCTAATTGTTGATGTTTGTGAAGATTGTTAGTACTGGTTGCTGGATTTCAATATTTGTTTGAGTTTATTATGGCTGAGCCGAACTGCTTGAAATTGAGCAGTTCCTCTCCAGTTCACCTATGTAATTCCTCAAATGTCTATATCCTTAAGGCACAATTTCCAAGGTGAAAAGTAATGCTTGGTTGAATATGCTACTGAAGTCCTATGATGCCCAGATATGGACATGGACATGGGAAACAGGGATATCTCTCCATTTCTAAAATCCAGGACATGGATATAGTATAGGTATCCCATGTAATATGCTTATATCATGTTTTTATATCTATTTCTTAAAGAGAAATGTTATTTCTCAAGACTTACATCTTGCTAAATAATATGTATAATTTTTTATGGTATAATTTGTTAAAGCATACCATCTTACATCTTTTAAAAGTTTTTAATGCTATAGAGTATATCTAAAAGTGTCCATGCATTATCTGTTGTCTTGTCTAGTATCATGTCTGAGCATGTCTTGAACTGGTACGCCAGGCATGTTTAAGTCGCAACTGGTTGATTGCATGATCATAACCATCCTATCCGTGCATTTCACTGCAGACCGTTAACTTTGTTTTACGTTTTTAAAGAATTTGATGTATGGGACAATTTCAACTATTTTTTAAGTTGCCACAATTTTTACAAGTATCAATTTTTTAAGATGGGAAAAATTCAAAATAACCGTTCTGTGGCCTTAGACAAAATTTGGTTGAAACTTTAATTTTACTTAAGAAGTTGAATTTTATGACTAGTCATAAAATTATACCAGACTCATATTTGGGGTGGGGAGGGGTGATTTTCTAGTCAGGTTATTTTGTGAGCTTCCCTAAATGACCCAGGTATCTTTCCTAAATGACTGGTCCGTGGCCGATGAAGTCTGTCTCCTGTCTGATGGATGGTCTGGATCAGCCACATGATTTTTTATTTTTTGGAGTAAAGAGAAAATTCATTAAACAGAAAAAGATATATACAGGAGAATTTTTTACAACAAGTTTGCTAGGATAGAAGCCATTAGAGAAAGAATATTTTCTTGCATCTTCTCCTGGCTTCTCTCCTCTGACCAGTTCAAAGGTTTCACGTATGCTGATCATGAAAGGAATTTAATAGAGATTAATCATTCTTCATATAGTGACAATCAGCCTGAACACCTCATCACTCCCAGGCCAGATCTAGATTATTTACTGATGTTTGATGGCAGTTGTAGATCAACTTCCGGCCAGCCTCTGGCGGCTGGCATTGGGGGGAGTTATTCTAAACAGAGAGGGCTCTGTGATTTGGGCTTACAGTGGTCCAGTTGTAGATGCTTCTGAAGCTGAAATCAGAGCATTGGTGATGGTTCTGAGAATTGTTAGATCTCTTCAGCTTAACTCTGTTCTCATTGAGGGGGACTCTAGGAATGTTATTAATTGGGCCTCCCACTCAGATAAGGGCCCTTGGACGCTGGGTCACCTTCTCAATGAGATTTCTGAAGTAGTATCTTCTCTGCATTGCGGTTTTAGATGGATTCCAAGGGAGCTACTCAGCTGTGGATCTTTTGGCTAAATCTGGGGTGGATAGAAATTTTTTGTATAGTGCAAACACTTTGCCCCCTTAAGTGGGGGGAAGATATTTTAGTTCTGTGTGGTTGACTATTTTGTTTGTACATTACATCCTCTCATGTACATCCCCCCTCCCCCCTTTTGAATATTATGGTTACCTTTTCTTTAAAAAAAAAAGATAGATACAATCCAATAGGTGACAAGATGGCACCTAGCTTTTTTTTTTGAAGAATCAGAATAAAAGATTTCATTAAAATAGAAAAGAATCATACAACCTGTCAACCTGGGGGGGGGGGGGTGTTAAGATAGCACCCAATTACAAGTCTGTAACTCAAGAAAATTCCAAAAATTCTCCCCCAACTTTGTTCTGCTAGTCTGAAGGAAATCTGTATGCACCAGAATCCAATCTGACACCAAATTCGCAATCAAGGCTAAAACACCTCCAACATTCTTCTGTCTGTTCTCGAATAATCTTCTATTTCTCTCATTCCATAAGACCCAGCAGACTGCAAAAGGGACGCAGCTCCMCATGATCTTTGCTTTCTTGCTCCCATTAAAAAGCATAAACTGAAACAGATTATAAAGACTGAATTTCAAGCACATTCCAGAAGTTCTCCCCCAAATCTGATCTACTGACTTGGTCAAAATCTGGAAGCACCCAAACCCAGTCTGCTACAAGTTTCCCCACCAGAACCACCAGTGTTTCAGTATTTTTAGCTTTGTCTTCAAAAAGCCTTCTGTTTCTTTCGTTCCACAGGACCCAGCACATAGAAAAGGGAATGCGGCTCCAAACTATCCCTGCTTTCCTGCTTCCTCCAAATCTTGGCCAAGAAGAGAAAATTTCTTCTGTTGACCTTGGCTGAAATACTATTTGCCCGAAAGAGAGAAATAGAATTTCTTACAAGAAAAGAATAGGTGGAATACAGTCTCTTCATCTGAGCAGTACAACACACAGAAATTTSCTAATCAGAATACTCTACTTTTTTAAGTAGTCGACTGTTAAAATACTGTCCAAAGCGACTCGGGATCTGCTACCCACAAGTTGTACCCACATCCATACCCACAGAGCACCACCACCATGTATTGGGAACATCTTCCCATGAATGACAAGGGGTGTTAGGAACCTGCCTAACTCAGGGCTCTTCGAGGGGCCAACCTCCTGAATTCTTGGAAAGAGAGAGAGAGAGAGAGAGAGAGAGAGAGAGAGAGATTAATGCTGAAAGAGTCCATCCCTTATTCCTTTTCTGCTCTACTACTTATAGTTTTACAATCTTGATTGTTACAGTTGTTACAAGTGGATGGTTAGTTGTGCTGATGTGGCCTCCTCTTGTAAAACTGATTAACTGCCTTCTGTTCCTCTTGTAAAACTGATTAACTGCCTTCTGTT